ACGGATTTGGGGGGTTTTGTCAGAGAACTCATGATTTTTTATTTATTTTTTTATTTTTATTTTTTTTCTATCAGAGAACCAGGATCCCTGCTCATAAGCAGGGTCCAGGTTTTCCATTTGCTATAGTAAAATGCAGATTTTTTCTTTAAAGAGAAAGATGCAGCTTTTCTTTTTTTTTAAGGCGAAAGACATGAGAAATGGCCAGTTTTCCTTTGCAGGATGGCAGAGTTCCAGACTGCAAGGGGCTGAGGGGAGTGTGAGGAGGGCGATCAGGCAGGGGGTGCCACAGAGGTTGAGGGCCCATAGTGAGGGAGGCACCAAGTTGGGCAGGGCTGGGGGCACTGCCCAGCCAAGGAGTATGGGAGGGCGCATGATTTGTATGCATGATTAAATTTTGGCATTTGATTTTGGTTTTTTTACAGATATTTAGAATGTATTTTATTATAGTGATTGAGGTGCTGGTAGACTTACAAATTGCTTTAAAATCTTAAATATATCAATAAAACATTGTGCTTAACTGATACTTCTTTATATAATGGCGTTTCATTTTAATTGTGGAAAAACACAGATTTTGGGGGTTTTAATCGGAGAATTTATAATTTTAAACAGAAAACTGGGATCACTGCTCATAAAATAATAGAAATAAAATAAACTAGATTAATGCTGCACCAAGACTTAAGAAGTGAAGTTAGCTTATGTATCAGATATTACCTAATTGTGAGAACATGCTTGGTGCCTGATTTAATATTTTGATTAGTTAATAAATGGGTTGATAGGGATTGAAATTACTCTTGTTATACTTGCTATCTATGACATGGTACAGACATTCAGTTTCTCCTGTGAGAGTTGCTGCTTTCCTAGAAGAAACTGCAAGCGTACAGATGTTCAGGCTTTTTCTCCCAGAGTAAAAATGGACACTCCAGGGGAAAAATAACCTGGGGATGACCAGGATTAAATTACTCCCAGGAGAATTTCTCCTGGAAGAACAAATGTCTGCATGTGGTATCAGTCTATTTGAACTGTGTTGCTGCAGGAGTTTGACAGCCCTTTAGAAGCAACACTTGAGCCTGTATTACATTTTGTAAATTTTTGTGGTTAGTTGCTTTTGCTTATTGCTTAGGTTTCTGTATGGCATGTATATATAAATTGATTGTGCTAAAATGATTGAAGACAATTGCATGTAAAACTTGTTAAGTGTTTTTTGCTTTTTGTTTTGTTTTTTTAAACATTGGGAAACTAGTTTAAATCAAAAACAAA